CTTTCCTCAATCACAGGAAAGGATTCAGAGAGTTCACCAATCTGAGCTTCAGAGAACTTTCCATTCCTTCAGATGTACGGGTAGCAGAAAGGAAATTCCGAGACATCATTATAGCTGCAGCCGCTAGATTTATAACTGCTGGTCGAATACCGGAGATGAGACCTAATTTCCCAGCAGAAGTAGTTGGTCTAGCAAATGAGCGTGATGAGTTTCGTCGATCTAACACAGCAGATCCCAGTAACACAGTTCCCTAATACATTAAGGGAACTTACGTTGAAGGTCAACAGATTAGTCGCGGACCATAAGCGGAATACATGTTAGGAGCAAATGAAAAGAGTTGCAACATCGGCACCGGGCAACTGTTAGGTCGCCCTCGAACCCTGGTAAGTAGGATTATAGAACCTCAGTCACTTTTAACGACGAAACTGTGACTGATCATGTATATGCTGAAATAGCTGAACGAGCCAAGAGTTGAGTACCTGACCAAAGTCCTCAATTTGTCACTCACGTCGTTCCCGAAGCCTGGACAATGGGCAGGATGTAAGAATGCCAGCAAAGGTGAATTGTAAGATTCACCTTTCTGGCCGATTTTACTTTTAGTCACCAGTAACTACGACTCTCGAGGCATTACTCCTCCCCAGCATTGGGGAAAGCTATACAGTTCCATATAATCAACATAGGTTCCATAAGCAACACAGTACAACAACAGGGTGGCCCGCCATCTCCACAGATATAAGTCGAGGATTTAACCAGAACTTGCTGTGCGATAGAAAAGTGTAGGTAGCGCATGACCTATCAAAAGCCTTTTATACTGATAATCATACCACACTGTTTGAGAACATCGAGAGCACTTCCCTCCGGTCAAGTTTGAAACGTTAGATAATCAACTATATGTTATAAAAGAGAGCCTTTAGATCAAATTGCTTAACGAGCAGGTCTGAGTAGCATTCATACTTATGCAGTTGCAGCAGCGTTGAACGAATACCGCCCTCGGAGCTCACCCCCTCCCATTGCAGCTAAAAAATGTCAGTTCCTCTGTTCCTAGTAAGGTGAGAGTCAATTGAAAATTTAACTTAAACTTAATTTTCTGCAAAATCGATTTTTGGATTTACGTCGATCTAAATATTTTCATATCAGTCTGAAAAACATTTTCCTATTTATTCCATTTCCTATGTTTATACCATTATCCTGCATTAATGTTTTCCTCTAGAAATATAAATACAAAAATATTCTATCCTTATACTTACTGTTCTCCCCGGGTGATAATGTTATGTGAATATCTTCCCTACTAAGCACTGGTTCTGAAATGAAGGAAAATAAAACAAAGGCAATAGAAATGGATTTGTTTTCAGTATGACCCAAAATAAATGCATATCTCTCCTATAATTTGTATTTTTTTATTAGGCGTACACGTTTTGCCTCTAATATTTATCAAGCTGTTTTTGCAAGCACATTCTTTGCATCAATATGCTAAACAATTTATTAAAAATAACAAAAGAATAAACAACAACTACAACGTCATGCTAAAATGATTTAAATATATATTTACCCATTAACTAAATAGCTTATATAATCTTCATATATCTTCAGATATGTTCAATGCAATTATTTATATGCATTCTAAAGAAAACAAAATAAAATATTTCTTTATGGAATTTTGGGAATTTGTTTACTGTTTAGTTTATTTATATCTTTCACAAACCAAAAATATGGTATAATAAAATATGGAAAATTCTGAGAAATAAAAAAATATGCTATACATTCTATTGCTTAAGCTCAACCTTCAGTATTTTTCTAAGAAGAAGATCGGTGTCAAAAACTAAGTTTAAAAAAAAAGTTAAATATGCCATTATTATTATTATATTGGACTATGCAAATATTCCAGATATTGGGAATTCTCAACTGACACCCATCAACGATAACTGTCCTACTCAAACCCAATGGAAAACCTGTAAGAAAAGTAGGGACCGACTTCGTGATACGCTTTCAACACAAGTTAACACACGTTAGGCTATACTTACATCTGTAAGTTTTGCAATTTTTTTACCCACCTGCTTGACGAAAGCACTTCTTGTCTTGTACCAAAAACCACCACTAAAAAACCCATGGTACGATCAGGAGTGTCGTAATGCTACTGATGTGAAAAATGCAGCGTATAGGGCAATTCTGCAGACAGTAGCAACACGTAATGTGATTGAGAATTATCGGGAGAGAGGAGAAACGTGTTTTCATAAAAGGAGAAAGAACAAGAAAAACGTGAGCGAGAGCAAATCGAGATGTACAGGAGTCAGAATGAAGTCTGGAAATTTTACCAACGAGTAAAACAAAATGCCGAAGGTTTTGGTGCATGCACATCCTCCTGTAGAGATGAAGAGGAAACCTGGTGACAGATACAGACAGCGTGTTGAGGACCTGGAAGGAGCATTTTGCAAAGCTTCTGGTATCAAATAGTGGCGGTGAAGAAGATATCCCAGAACCAGTAAGAGATGACGGTATATGGTGTATACCACAAGAAACAAGACGATATGTGCCAACTATAGAGGAATAAGTCTCCTTCCCATCGCATATAAAGTGTTATCCAGCGTGTTGTGTAAACGATTGAAGCCAATGGTCATTGACATTATTGGACAATACAAATGCGGCTTCAGACCTTGCAAATCCACCATTGACCAGATTTTCACTCTGCGCCAAATACGGGAAAATATCCAATGTCGAACGAGGAATCAGACGAGGTGACAGTTTGTCGTGAGACCTGTTTAACATCCTGCTGGAAAAGGTCATACGAGACGCAGGGGTGAACAGAAATGGCACTCTGTACACCAAACAACACATGGTACTCGCCTACGCCAATGGTATCGATATAATGGGTCGAACATTGCGAGCGGTAAACGGCGAGAAGACCAAGCTGATGGTATCAACGAGCAAGACGCCCAGTAGACTCGGACCAACTGTGGAACTTGAAAACAACAGCTTCCAGGTAGTCAAAGAGTTTATATACCTTGGTACAGCCATAAATAAAACGAATGATATCAGTACCAAACGAATGACATGCTACTATGGCTAAGTAAGCAGTGTAGCATGTCATTCGTTTGGTACTGCTATCATTCGTTTTATATGGATCTGAAGCATGGGTAGTTGCGCAAGCAGATAAGCAGCTCTTGGTGTGTTTGAAAGAAAAATTCTCCGAATTCTCGACATAGTCGTATTGAGCTGCAGCGATTACGCTGCACCCTGCTCAAAAGGCATAAAAAAGCCTACTGATGGTTCCCACAGAAGGACCTTACCCACGAATTTGATGGAAAGACCAAGTAGAAGACAACATATTGGAACGCTCAAAAGTCATAAAAAAGCGAGCCTACTGAAGGTTCCCACAGAAGGACCTTCCCCACGAATTTGATGGAAAGACCAAGTAGAAGACAACATCTTGGAACGTGGTCTTTCAAATTGGAGGAGATGAGCACAAGACCGACGCGCTTGGAAATCTTTTTTAAGCTCGTCTTATGGAACAACCGTTCTGTAACAAGCCAGCTAAGTAAGTAAGCCATGGGTCTCTATCTTACCCTTTTGCATGTAACAAACATATTACCTTGTGCCACAGTGTGGTGAAGGGTATAAAAATATCTGTATTCGGGATCTAATTCCATTGGTTCAGCAGAAACACAAACGAAATTCGCTAGGCGAGTTCGTATTCTTATTCCAATTTCAAAAAAGCGGTGACTTCCACTCGTTCAATCTATAATTAAGCCTGTCTAGTGGACCATTACCAAATGCGAGACATTCATATCACTCAATACGAATTAAGTAGCCTACACCAGCTAGATTTCAGTTGTGCCACAACCTCACTAGTTTGTTTAGGTAGCTACGCTACTGCTATTCTGTTCAGCGACGTAGACTGAGGGAGGCCCTCCCCGAAATGAAAATTGTCCACAGTAAATTTATAATTGCAACAGCGATTATTTTTTTTTTCATTTTGTACTAGTGAAGCATGTATACGTTCATGCTTCAGTTGATATCGATGGCGGGTGTATAAGGTCCTCGATTACTGCCAGCTAGTGACTAGAGAACTTTTTTCTTATAGATACTACCGAATGTGACCTCTAGAACCTTAGGACAATTTTTGGTTGGGTCGTTTTGGCTCGTACAAAACCATCATAAGAAATGATTGTCTTTGGCGTAGTGTCAGGGGATCCTCATAATGTTAGTCTGGCTAATAAGCAATTTTTCGACGATTTTATTTCTCTTCGTTGTGATTGTCTTTATATTGGTCAGAGAATATTCGAATTCGGAATATAATATATTTATTATTATTTCGGTACCCTTACGGAACATCATCTATGAAACGTTCTATTTTAAAACCAAACAAAATGTCCATTCCAAACAATGTGTAATAAGAACACTAATAATACCAACTAAAATTCATTGATTGGGAATAGTGTAACACACGTTTTATTTTGTTAAAATTGTTTTATATTATTGGATAGTATATATATTTATTTTTTTGATATTTAAAACTTTAATTTTATAGATTTCATTGTCTTTGTTTGTTTGGCTAAATTGCAAAAATAGTTTTTGCAATCGATTTTATTTTTTTTCATATCAACAACTCATACTTTTTGTTGTTGTTGGATTTTTTGATTAACTATCACAGATTATATAGATACTTACATTACAAAACAGATATATACGTACATACATACATGATGATTATTGTTGAAAGTTAAATAACAAACAAATACAAGACATGTTTAAAAGATATATCAAAACATTAAAATGTAACACAAAAATATTAAATAAGAAAATTAAATTACAATTACAATTAAAGAAAAAAATTAAAATAAAAAAGCTTTTATCATGCTTGGAACACGTTAAAGAGTTAAATATTTGTTTGATATTAAATTATTATTATTATTGCCGTTTTGAAATTAAAACAAAGAAAGCGTCTAAAATTGTTTTTAGATTTTGAGGTTAATAATATATACGGGGGGTGGGGGCGGAACAAATTAGGTATGCAAAGCAAAATGTTGTAATTGTTGTTGAGCCAAATTAGTATCATGCTCTAAATTGCCATTTGTTGCTGATGCGGATGCAGCAACAGTGGCAGCACCAGCATTGGTGGTAGCTGCTGTATTTGTACCCATGTTCGAATTCAAAGAATTACCACTGGCACTGCGCAAAGCATTAACATTTGTCATCGATCGATTAGTTACAGCCAGCGAACTGGCATCTGAGCAAGCGGAATTAGTGGATATGGCTCGTGAGAGATTTTGTAGCGTACCGGGTAGAATTCGGACATTGTCACAGCATTCACACATATTCAATTGCGGATGATTACGGAATGTACACATATTGCACTCCCAGTGCTCGATTAACTCCTCGTCGTCATCGTCATCATCATCGTAGTCACCACCATTATCCGTATCTGAATAGTAATGATGAACATCGTCGTTTAGGCCAACGCCATTGAGATGGCTGGGTGATGGTGGATGATAGGATTGGGGCGATTGTTGTTGTTGCGAATAGATTGAAGGCGATAATGAGTGCGAATGTTGGAATTGTTGTTGTTGATGCTGTGTATAGCCCGTTCCCAGTAGGGGAGACGACATTGTGGCGTTGTGGCCATTGAAATTTGGCAAAGAGGCAGGTGTGTGCGGTGATGTAGGTGTTGCTGTTGAATGATGTTGTATTATATCTAAACTTGTTTGACGGGGTGGTGGCGGTCGAGGTGGTGGTCTGTCATTTCTTTGTCTTGGGAATGGTTGTGGTGTTTGTTGCTGCTGCTGTGGATATTGATTAGCCATTGGATTACCTGGTGAGGTAGGAGAGAAAATAGAACACGAGAAATTAATTTAATTCAATTGGATTAGGAAAATTATTCCCACCAAAATACTTACTACTCCTCAGCATTGCTTGACATTCAGACCTTAATCTCTGTATTTCTGTATCCAGTCTTTCCGCTAAACCATCTGGTATGGTACCTGTTATTAAATTAACTTCTTGTTCCACCTGTCCCAAACGTTTCTTATTTTCCCGCAAGGCCGCTGCCAATTTGTCACGCCGTTTCTTTTGTCGTTCCAGGACCTCGGCAACAATTTCTGTTTTGGGATAGAAAACAAGAAAATTTAAAAAAGAGAATTAAACAGAGTCTTAGTGGGTAGAAAATGTCCGTTCAAAAAACGTCAATAATGGTCTATATTTCATTGTAGCACCCATACAGTTATACGAATCGATTTTATTAATTTATCAAAGACCAATTGGTCTGCATGGAGACTCGAGGTTTTTATAAAGACCAATTGGCCTGCATGGAAATCCGAGGTCTTCGTAAAAACCTCGATTTTATTAATTTATCAAAGACCAATTGGTCTGCATGGAGACTCGAGGTTTTTATAAAGACCAATTGGCCTGCATGGAAATCCGAGGTCTTCGTAAAAACCTCGATTTTATTAATTTATCAAAGACCAATTGGTCTGCATGGAGACTCGAGGTTTTTATAAAGACCAATTGGCCTGCATGGAAATCCGAGGTCTTCGTAAAGACCAATTGGTCTGTATAGAGACCAGAGGTCTTTATAAAACCTATTGGTCTGTATAGAGACCAATTGGTCTGTATAGAGACCAGAGGTCTTTATAAAGACCAATTGGTCTGTATAGAGACCAGAGGTCTTTATAAAGACCAATTGGTCTGTATAGAGACCAGAGGTCTTTATAAAGACCAATTGGTCTGTATAGAGACCAGAGGTCTTTATAAAGACCAATTGGTCTGTATAGAGACCAGAGGTCTTTATAAAGACCAATTGGTCTGTATAGAGACCAGAGGTCTTTATAAAGACCAATTGGTCTGTATAGAGACCAGAGGTCTTTATAAAGACCAATTGGTCTGTATAGAGACCAGAGGTCTTTATAAAGACCAATTGGTCTGTATAGAGACCAGAGGTCTTTATAAAGACCAATTGGTCTGTATAGAGACCAGAGGTCTTTATAAAGACCAGACCAATTGGTCTGTATAGAGACCAGAGGTCTTTATAAAGACCAATTGGTCTGTATAGAGACCAGAGGTCTTTATAAAGACCAATTGGTCTGTATAGAGACCAGAGGTCTTTATAAAGACCAATTGGTCTGTATAGAGACCAGAGGTCTTTATAAAGACCAATTGGTCTGTATAGAGACCAGAGGTCTTTATAAAGACCAATTGGTCTGTATAGAGACCAGAGGTCTTTATAAAGACCAATTGGTCTGTATAGAGACCAGAGGTCTTTATAAAGACCAATTGGTCTGTATAGAGACCAGAGGTCTTTATAAAGACCAATTGGTCTGTATAGAGACCAGAGGTCTTTATAAAGACCAATTGGTCTGTATAGAGACCAGAGGTCTTTATAAAGACCAATTGGTCTGTATAGAGACCAGAGGTCTTTATAAAGACCAATTGGTCTGTATAGAGACCAGAGGTCTTTATAAAGACCAATTGGTCTGTATAGAGACCAGAGGTCTTTATAAAGACCAATTGGTCTGTATAGAGACCAGAGGTCTTTATAAAGACCAATTGGTCTGTATAGAGACCAGAGGTCTTTATAAAGACCAATTGGTCTGTATAGAGACCAGAGGTCTTTATAAAGACCAATTGGTCTGTATAGAGACCAGAGGTCTTTATAAAGACCAATTGGTCTGTATAGAGACCAGAGGTCTTTATAAAGACCAATTGGTCTGTATAGAGACCAGAGGTCTTTATAAAGACCAATTGGTCTGTATAGAGACCAGAGGTCTTTATAAAGACCTGTATAGAGACCAGAGGTCTTTATAAAGACCAATTGGTCTGTATAGAGACCAGAGGTCTTTATAAAGACCAATTGGTCTGTATAGAGACCAGAGGTCTTTATAAAGACCAATTGGTCTGTATAGAGACCAGAGGTCTTTATAAAGACCAATTGGTCTGTATAGAGACCAGAGGTCTTTATAAAGACCAATTGGTCTGTATAGAGACCAGAGGTCTTTATAAAGACCAATTGGTCTGTATAGAGACCAGAGGTCTTTATAAAGACCAATTGGTCTGTATAGAGACCAGAGGTCTTTATAGAGACCAGACCAATTGGTCGGTATAGAGACCAGAGGTCTTTATAAAGACCAATTGGTCTGTATAGAGACCAGAGGTCTTTATAAAGACCAATTGGTCTGTATAGAGACCAGAGGTCTTTATAAAGACCAATTGGTCTGTATAGAGACCAGAGGCCTTTATAAAGACCAATTGGTCTGTATAGAGACCAGAGGTCTTTATAAAGACCAATTGGTCTGTATAGAGACCAGAGGTCTTTATAAAGACCAATTGGTCTGTATAGAGACCAGAGGTCTTTATAAAGACCAATTGGTCTGTATAGAGACCAGAGGTCTTTATAAAGACCAATTGGTCTGTATAGAGACCAGAGGTCTTTATAAAGACCAATTGGTCTGTATAGAGACCAGAGGTCTTTATAAAGACCAATTGGTCTGTATAGAGACCAGAGGTCTTTATAAAGACCAATTGGTCTGTATAGAGACCAGAGGTCTTTATAAAGACCAATTGGTCTGTATAGAGACCAGAGGTCTTTATAAAGACCAATTGGTCTGTATAGAGACCAGAGGTCTTTATAAAGACCAATTGGTCTGTATAGAGACCAGAGGTCTTTATAAAGACCAATTGGTCTGTATAGAGACCAGAGGTCTTTATAAAGACCAATTGGTCTGTATAGAGACCAGAGGTCTTTATAAAGACCAATTGGTCTGTATAGAGACCAGAGGTCTTTATAAAGACCAATTGGTCTGTATAGAGACCAGAGGTCTTTATAAAGACCAATTGGTCTGTATAGAGACCAGAGGTCTTTATAAAGACCAATTGGTCTGTATAGAGACCAGAGGTCTTTATAAAGACCAATTGGTCTGTATAGAGACCAGAGGTCTTTATAAAGACCAATTGGTCTGTATAGAGACCAGAGGTCTTTATAAAGACCAATTGGTCTGTATAGAGACCAGAGGTCTTTATAAAGACCAATTGGTCTGTATAGAGACCAGAGGTCTTTATAAAGACCAATTGGTCTGTATAGAGACCAGAGGTCTTTATAAAGACCAATTGGTCTGTATAGAGACCAGAGGTCTTTATAAAGACCAATTGGTCTGTATAGAGACCAGAGGTCTTTATAAAGACCAATTGGTCTGTATAGAGACCAGAGGTCTTTATAAAGACCAATTGGTCTGTATAGAGACCAGAGGTCTTTATAAAGACCAATTGGTCTGTATAGAGACCAGAGGTCTTTATAAAGACCAATTGGTCTGTATAGAGACCAGAGGTCTTTATAAAGACCAATTGGTCTGTATAGAGACCAGAGGTCTTTATAAAGACCAATTGGTCTGTATAGAGACCAGAGGTCTTTATAAAGACCAATTGGTCTGTATAGAGACCAGAGGTCTTTATAAAGACCAATTGGTCTGTATAGAGACCAGAGGTCTTTATAAAGACCAATTGGTCTGTATAGAGACCAGAGGTCTTTATAAAGACCAATTGGTCTGTATAGAGACCAGAGGTCTTTATAAAGACCAATTGGTCTGTATAGAGACCAGAGGTCTTTATAAAGACCAATTGGTCTGTATAGAGACCAGAGGTCTTTATAAAGACCAATTGGTCTGTATAGAGACCAGAGGTCTTTATAAAGACCAATTGGTCTGTATAGAGACCAGAGGTCTTTATAAAGACCAATTGGTCTGTGTAGAGACCAGAGGTCTTTATAAAGACCAATTGGTCTGTATAGAGACCAGAGGTCTTTATAAAAACCAATTGGTCTGTATAGAGACCAGAGGTCTTTATAAAGACCAATTGGTCTGAATAGAGACCAGAGGTCTTTATAAAAACCAATTGGTCTGTATAGAGACCAGAGGTCTTTATAAAGACCAATTGGTCTGTATAGAGACCAGAGGTCTTTATAAAGACCAATTGGTCTGTATAGAGACCAGAGGTCTTTATAAAGACCAATTGGTTTGTATAGAGACCAGAGGTCTTTATAAAGACCAATTGGTCTGTATAGAGACCAGAGGTCTTTATAAAGACCAATTGGTCTGTATAGAGACCAGAGGTCTTTATAAAGACCAATTGGTCTGTATAGAGACCAGAGGTCTTTATAAAGACCAATTGGTCTGTGTAGAGACCAGAGGTCTTTATAAAGACCAATTGGTCTGTATAGAGACCAGAGGTCTTTATAAAGACCAATTGATCTGTATAGAGACCAGAGGTCTTTATGAAGACCAATTGGTCTGTATAGATACCAGAGGTCTTTATAAACACAAAGTGGTCTGTGTAGAAACTACGGGATTTTCTATCACCACCGCCATGTTGCTTGGTCGTTCATGTGAAATGGCAAATCAAATCAATTTTCGAAGAAAATCCAAATCTAATTTTAGATAGAGATGATCTATTTTTCGTTAAACAAATTAAAAAAAAAGTGTCACGCCAATATAAAAATATCCAAGAAGCAAAACATTTCATAATTTATTTTTACCTAAAATTTTCTGAGAAAAAAAAACATTTTTAATAAAAATAAAAAAACAACAAACTCACACACATAAGAAATTAATCTATTGGCAAGGAGAAAAAACAAGAGCAACAAACACACCCACAATGGGAGGTGCGAGTCAGTTCAGAAATAAATAGATGATTTGTTTATATTGGGATTTTTTATTTGAAATAAAATGGATTATAACTCGTGATCATTTGAGAATTTTCTCAAATAGCAGCATGGGAAATTCGCACACACACACACACACACATAGACATAGATTTTCAATTATTGCTTTCTATATTTTTTGTGTGTTTCAAATATGCAACACCATAGAGAAGAAAAATAATAAAAAATGACATAGATTTATGTGTGTGTGTTTGAATGTGATTTGCCCTGAACTTGAAAGTGAAAATGAAAACACTGAAAAAACATTGCAAATTATCTCTTTTTTTTTTTGACGTCAACAAATTGTCACGTTAAGCATTCATCACAAACAACAAAAATAGCTAACATGGCAAATTAAACGATTAACTGGTTAATATCAACTTCAAAGGAATATTTAATCCGCCTATATACTTGACGGATCCATAGGTTAATGAAATTTTAAAAATTTACCTTGGCCGAATTTTAATAATGGAATGTTTGAATTGATCAAAGGAATTTCTCCTATGGTCTCTATACATACAAATTGGTCTTTAAAAAGACCTGTGGTCCCTATACAGATCTCTGGTCTCTATGCAGACCAATTGGTCTTTATAAATACCTTGGGTCTCTATACAGCCCAATTGGTCTTTATAAATACCTCTGGTCTCTATACAGACCAATTGGTCTTTATAATGACCTGTGGGCTCTATACCGACCAATAGGTCTTTATAAAGACCTAGGGTTTATATACAGACCAATTGGTCTTTATAAGGACCTAGGGTCTCTAGACAGACCAACCAAGAAATTATTGCTTAGCGCAAAAGAAAAATGCCATTAGACTAAAATGTTGGTTTTAGTTTCCCCCACTTATTGTCTGTCATTGATAAGGCAGCAGATCATTGTATAATTTGTATTGTTATTTCTTTTTTTTTCGAAATTTATAGATAAGAACAACAAAAATAACAACATGTAGACAAACAAACAAAAAAATTCCACCACAATTTACGTTTCATTTTAATCAAAAGAAAATATAAATGAAAGAAAATTTGAACTGAAATGCATTCCAAGTGTATTGGATTTTTGTGGTGGTGGTCAATTGAATTTAAATGCAGATGACCGGAAAAGTGAAATGTAAAGGAATGTGGTTGGTTAAAGGCCTATACGTAAATGTTATATTCGAATAATGTGTTTACACATTAAACCGGTTATTACATTTGATTTACATAATAGAAACCAGTGAGCGGAGCAAAAACCATTGATACCCTACACAACTACCACGGAACTCAAATTTTCTGCGGATGTTTATTCCGAGCCTGGGCAATATTTCGTGATATTTGCACCCTCTTGCCCGATTAGAGGTAAATAGCACAAAAAATTAAGTTTTCGGTCCACTTCATTCCAAAATTATTATCTGATCATCACCGAAAATTATAGGCGTTGTCCTTGATCAAAACTGGAACCTCATGGAACATTTCAAAGCGATCAGCTCTATAGTTCCGCTCTCTAGAGTGATAATGGGTTACAAAATAATATAGGAATACGGAGATACCTGTAAATATGTAGGTGTAACTCCCACATCCGAGCACATACAACAATATAATTGGTATTAATTTAAAGGTCAACCACTCCTCTTGGATATAATATAAACTTCTCGGGTCTGTGTCCTTCAGGGGTAAATATATACCCTATAGAATACAAATTTTGTAATTTTTCACAGAAAAGTCAGGGTCCATTTGACCCGCTAAATATTGACCGATCTCTATAAAAACAGGCATGCTTATTCTTTGGCCCGATCCCCTTCTCCATGGAAAATTTCACGATGTTCGGGCCATTATTGCGGCCTCTGGAGCGACCAGAAAAACCGACCAAAATTTAGTATTTGGTCCATTTCATCCCCTAAATATTAGCCGATCTTTTCCAAAAACAATAGGGGTCTTCATTGGCCAGAACCCATCCTACATGCAAAATTTCGTGAAGATTGGTCCATAACTGTGGCCTGTATCGTGTTTACAAATTATAATGGACAGTCGGACGGACGGACACACATGTCTAGATCGAATCAGCTAGTCGAGATATGACGATCGGTATACTTAAAAGTGGGTCTAGGACCAATATTTCGCGGCGTTACAAACTCTTGGGGCTGCACAAAGCTATAATACCCTGACAACATAGTTGTGTAGGGTATAAAAAGAGAAAAAAATTGAAATATGAAAGAAAATCCCCGTTGAGCCATAAACGAGTTTTTTATTTATAAAAACCCCAAATAAATTTCCATATACCTTCCACCTTCTAATAATTGCTCTCTTTTAATTTACAAAAAGTAGACTTCGTGAATACCCATACTTTTAGAATAGCTTATCACTCTCATCGTTATCACGTGCTGTTCCTTTGCTAGCGCAATGCTATTTTCTTGGAAATTTATTTTGCACATACGCTTCGAGTTTCTTTATTGTAATTCCACAAATACTTTAAATTGCTGAAGTGATCCGCTTATCATTAATTTTGTCATAGTTCTTATCGAACTATTCTTCTCTATAACAGCTAGTTAAATATGTATGTAACAGAAAAAATGTCAGTAATGATATCGAAGAAATATTAACAAAATGTAAATAAAGTCCGCCACTCACTATACATCATGATGTCATGTCGAGGAACCTATTCGTGTATATATGAGATTGAATATTGAGTTTAAATTTTTTAGTTTTTTTTTTTTTTTTTATTTGAATGTATGAAAAAACTCAGCTGCGGAGGCTTGCGAATTTTGTATAGGAGGTATACCAAATCTTGGTCCGATCTTTCCAGTTTTTTGTCAGTTGCTTTATAGACCAATTTCCATTGAATTTGGTTAAATATTAAAGATTATATAGGCCAAAACAGTGAAACTTTCAAGACCCCTTATATGGGAGGCATATCAAATCTTGGTCCGATTTATCCAATTTGTTGTTACTTGCTCCTAAGGCCAATAATTCTGAGTGGTACAACAAAATCGTTTGCCTGAAGTCTTCGGAGAATTCGAAAAACGAACACGAGAACACAAATAATTGTTTTTTTATTCTGGCACATAAATAGTTTAAATGGTGTAATGCCCAAATAAAATTCATTGAGGCTCTTGACCTGATGATTTCGGAGACAGGTACTTAATTTTTTTTAATAATGGTCTTTATCAAAACCTCGTCAAGAATTTGGTCATTAGAAAACAAAAAAATTTATTAGTAATCTGTTCAGATTTATTTATAGCTCTCATTTATAACATCGTCCGATTTTATGTAAATGGTGCACTAAACTGCCAAGTTTTGTCCGAAATAGGTCTACACTGATGTGTGATAAGTTTCGTGAAAATCGGTTCAGATTTATATATAGCTCACATATATAGTTCCGTCCGATTTTATATAAATAATGCACCAAACTAACAAATTTTGGCCGATTGATTTTCGATTGGTTTTCGATGTTGTTGTACTGATCTGGTAATTTAAGAAATTTACTTTATACAATAATAGAAGTAGTTTGATTATTTAATATTTCACAAGAGTTCAAAATGACAGATATTAGGCTATATAGGTATAGCACATGTGAATGCGGGGAATGAAAGAGGGGGGTAAGCAGCTACTATGATTAATAAACGTAGTTCTATGTGGTACAAAAAGTCGCCAAATTTTAAAAAGCTGTGCCATAATATACACAACTGGTTTTGCACTTGAAATTGAAAAACGGTCAAAATGACCGCCTTCGGCAATCTAGTGTTAATATAAATGGTGCACCAAAGTCCCTATATATCAATCGATTTGAACGGAATTTCGCATAGCGTATTAAATTAAGTCTAGAATGATTAAATGATGTTTTTAAAATAAAAGCACGCATTTCTAAATTGTCCATTGTAAATAATTTCGGATGCGTCTTTTTTCTCTTTATAAGCCGGAGGCAGGTCCTCCTCCAGGTAGTCCACTTTCAATTAGAATAGAAGGTATAGGACCATACAACACCATATGTAACGAGATTTTCTTATATTTTTCGTTTAGTTCGATAGATAAAACACGTGGCAAGTTAATCGAAAGCTAAACACAGCGCCATTTTGTATTTTTTTAAGCAAGTAGGCGTGATTAACTCTTTAAATGTGTCTTGCTTGTGAGCCGTCCGAAGACGAACTGATGCATCTTTTTGAACACCTGTTTCTATATGAAGGAGTTGCCAGATCGAAACAAAATTTAATATGTGTTCATTACAGAGAAGGAAGTTTCCAAAACACTTAACTTTTTTCTGTTTATACCGCGCTTTTTGTGCTAGGCTAAGAACTGTCCTCGTATTGTACTTATTTAAAAAAATACTGTTTGAATGTATGACATCTGCATACGGCCTTTATGCCCAGTGTCTTATTGTCATACCCACTTGTCAAATTCTTCTTTCTCTTCTTCTTCGATGTGTTCAACATTCTCCTCAACTTACCATCTTCAGCTTGCTGTGGTGCCAAACACATATTGCCAAATTCACCGCTACCAATACCCTGAGGTGATTTCAAATTGTTATTTGGATTATTTCGCCGTTGCTGTTGCTGCAGATCAATAATGGCCGTGTTATTATTGTGAAATTGTTGCAGCTGCTGTTGTTGTTGTTGTTTCTGTTGCTGTTGTAAATACTGTTTTTGCTGCTGCTGTTGGATTTGTTGTTGCTGTTCGGCATATAAAGAATTTACACGATTATCATCACCATCCGAATTACCATCATATTGATTTTCACAAATATTTACTTGTTGTTGTTGTCCCGCCATACGCTGTGGACGTCTGCGACTGGCACTAAACACACCTCCCTCATCCGTCACGGTTATGTGGAAATTTTGCTGATAACCCAAACGGGCATCATACGATGTACTCGAATACGAGAGATGTTTACCACCACCACTTGCCCCCGAAAACCCGGGTCCCGCGGTTATATCAATGGCCGATGGTTGTAGGGCAGAATTAAGGACAGTGGTGGGTGGCCTTAGTGTTAGGTTGACTGAGGTATAACTTTTTTGGGAAGTACCCACGGAATTTGTGGGCGAGGAAACCACCGACGATGAGGTGTAGCTGGTTGGCGTTAAGGGCGCTGTAGTACCGCCGGGTGTTGTGGCAAAGTTGGTTGTCTGTTGGAAAAAATCACGCGTATACGGTGGCTCGGGTTGTAATGTTATGACTGAACGATGGCGTATTGGCGATTTGTTTTGTGGACTATTCTGCTGCTGATGGTGGTGAGTTTTAGATGTTGTCGATGATGTGGGAGAGGGTGGTGTTGATATTGACACATTAACGGAAATCTCTGATTCCGATAGGGGACTATTGCTAGCTGTTGTTGGGTGAGTGGAAAGAGAATCGCCAGAGTTGTTGGCGTTGTTGTTGTGGTGGTGATTACTTGAATGGGAAGTGATGTGATTGGCATGATGGTGCTGCTGCGGTGTCGTACTCGCAGACAATGTGCTGGGTTTGGGGGCAATGGGAGGAAGTGGTGCTTTACGCACCGGTTTAGTTGTCGTTGCATTATTTAGTGCTGCTGCTGGTTGTGGTTGTTGTTGCTGTTGCTTATGACGCTGCTGCAGAAAATGCTCTTGCAATTGCACATTTAAACGTTGCCTTTGTTGTTGCTGCTGTTGTTGTTGATTATTCAAATTGAGCGTTGTGGGTCTTGCTCTGGGCTGTGGTGTTGGTGTCTCACCAATACCAATGGCCCGATTATTCTCAGTACATCCACCATTCTTCTCGCTGTTGTAGGTTTGATACTCTGGCTCTCTTTTTTGTAAGACTGTTGGTTTTGTATTTGTTGTAGTTGTTGGCATATCATTTAATTTCATTTCGTTGATAACGTCGTTGTCGTCGTCACGAACATCCAACGGCGCAGAAGATGCACCACCACCTGGCGTACCAACAGAGGCAACGTTTTCTTCGCCAGATATGGTTATCTGCTGCTGCTGTTGTTTATTGAGTAGATGACGACGAACTGGAGAATTGTTGTTGTTATTCACCGATGACGGCGGAATTTTTCTCTGCAATTGTGGTGAGTTGATTTTATTGAGCGTTGGATGTGTTGGTGCAGGTCTTACAGGTTTCAGAGGTGGCTTCAATGGTGGCTTCTGTTGCACAATGGGCTTTTGTTGTAGTGGTGGCTTAACATTAACCGTTGTTGGTGTTGTTATTGCAGTGCTGTTGTTGTTATTGTTATGGTATTGTTGTTGTTGTAGCTGTTGAGCGTTATTCACCGAATTTGTATTTGGCGGATGTAAAACTTTGGCAGGATATGCTTGAACTGGTATTGGATTCAATTCCAATTCATTTCTCAACATTCGTATACACTCGTCACGTTGATGACAATTCTCATTGACACATTGGGTCACTATGTTATCGGGTATGGTGGGAAATTCTTGTTTCATTTCATGAAACAAGTGCATTATAGTTATATTTGTACAATTGCACGCGGATTTCTTGGTGTGTGGTGTGGAGGTGGCGGAGTTGGAGTTGGAGGTTGGAGATTGCGGCGTAGACTGTGTGGTATTGTCATAAACGGTTGATGGTGAATTGTCGCCGTTGTTATTAGTTTCAACACAGTTAGTGCTGTTGTTATTATTGTTTAGAGATTTACTATTTTGCGGATTTTTTAGAAAATTTCCTGGCGGCTTTGGTGGTTTAGCCGCCATCTTTGGCCATCATTTAACAAAATCACAAACCTTAAATGAGGAAGAGAAGAAAATGGCGTAAATGATTAATAAGAAATTAAATATTACTTTAAAATCAAATATAGAATAAAATAATATTTAATAAAATAAACCACTAAAAATATTTTAAAAATAAAATATTAACATAAAAAAATATATTTGAAAACAAAAATATCTCAAAAGAGCCTGTTTGTATGCAGAATTCGAAAAGAATCCGCTTATTTCTAATATAAAAGTAATTGCTATAACGAGCATATTCGCTTGTGGAAAGCATAACTGAATACTATCGGACGCGATCTAAGGGGAGACGGGTGCTAATGATCCTTGGACTGATGTGGCGAATATTGACGCCCCTAAAATAAATATTAATTATTTTGTACCTGGTGTCGGTTATTTGAATTGTTTGGATATTCTGTAAACCTTCAGAGGGGACTATTGACTAAACAGTTGGAGAGGTTTTAGGTAAGGATTTAATAAAACATTCCCATGGTAAATTTTGACTCCTTCTTTGGAAGACACTATCAGAATTGCATTGTATTTTTGATTCGTTGGTTTTTTGAGAACGAGGGGAGGATTTGCATCTTCGCGTAGTTTACAAGTTGTCGGAAATGCCGTGGAAGGTCTAAACGAGCATATCTTTCTTTGTGTGATGTTTTTTGCCTAACTTTTAGACGATTTTTCAAAACATGGTCGGGAGAAGATTTTAATTTCTTTGGAGTCACTTCGTTTAATCTGACATCTTTGGAATTACCCGGTATACCAATATATAATTTCAAGGATATTGGTATGTCGGGTATTTCTAATGATGTCAATTAGACCTTCCACTACATTTTCTACAACCTAATATAAAGGAGAGATTTATGCCATTAGGTTTTCTATAGACTGAGGACTGTATAGACATATTCTTAAGGTAAATAATATATATAGTCGTCATTATATGACTTCATTGGAAGCACAGATCTATAGAAAGTGACCTTCTGCGTACAGTAGACCTTCTAAGAGGTTTTTCATAAAATGGACACATTTAGATAGAACATTGGAGAATCTTAGGGACTGTACCCTGTTCGTATATCATGAACAGGGTACAGCGCCCGCCGAGCAAATTGATAGCTCCACGGTATCCATGGTAAATAAGTATGATTCCGAGAAAATTAGAGAATATTGAAACAGTCCGTTAGACATTCCCTTGTGCCACCTGACCTAATTCCACTCGGGTTAGACCACTTCCCTATATAAGTATGCGACGCTAAGCTGAAAAAGGAAGCAGACCACTTGAAACTTTGCAACATCGTAACAAGCAAATTGTGTGGTTATGTTCGGGAGTGACTTAACCGGGAACTTAATCCGGGAAAAAAAGCATGACGGAACGGTTTTAAAATTTCGAGACGAAAAAGTGAGTAGACCACCTGAAACTTTGCAACATCGTAACAAACAAATTGGGTGGTTAAGTCACTCCGAATCCGGGAAAAAAGCATGACGGAACGGTTATCAAATTTCGAGACGTAACGGTAAGAGAACCAATGAAATAATCGATTTATTTAAACCGGAAGTTCATAAATCATTCCGATAGTGAAAGGGTATAGGAACCCACCTCAATTTACGAAAGAATACAACGAACATAACTCTACGAAACACGTCTAGGGACAGTAGTACAAAGCAGGCATAATTCGAAGTTGTTTTTTTTTTTTTTTTTTTTTGAATCGAGGTATGGAGTCTATATATATATACTATATGTATATAGACTCTCCCTATATTTTTCATGTTTTAGAAAAGCGTTATTAAGAAACGCTTTTCTAATATAATATGTATGCCAAGGACTTTACAATATCTTCTAATTTTGTTGAAGATGTCCACTACTTGTATTTAATTCACTATTTGGGTCTTTCAATGGTCTTATTTTTAGTTAGTTCCAAAGCACACATATTCTTATAATTCTTATAATTTAAATATTTTTTTATGTCTTGCCAGGCAATACATTTATGGAATTTTTATTAAATACACTATTTTTTTAAACCACAAATTTCAAAAAAAGAATCTGTTTCACTTTATTTTTCAGGCGATTAAAAATTTTGCAAAATCAATATGGTGTATTTCTCACACTCTCTCTCTCTCTCGGACACACAACCACTTGTAAACACTTTGGGAGTACATGACTCTCTCTCACTCTCTAATAACTTAAAAAAAACAAAACTTCCGATCGAATGAAAAATTAAAAAAAAATATACCGTTTAATAAAGGAACTTCGGCTATTTCAATAGAGAACGAACCGTGCGAACGACCGACCATCCGTCTACCAATCAAGAATAGTCGACAATATATTAAATGAAAGGAAGGGGGAGCATAAGAAAACAATAAATGATTACCTCTTGGGGGGTGTTTGTTATAATTATTGATGTTATTTGTGTTTTTGTTCTAATTGAATTAAGCAAAAACAAAAAAAAAAAAAAATGGTGAAATACCTCAACATTTTCACCTCTAAGCAAAAAGGGCCCCACACCTCTCCTACAAAACACCCCCTAGCAATTGTTATCTTCAAATGGTAATAGAAATTGTTATCTCAGAAGCCATATTACAAAAAAAACAACAAGAACAAAATATATAAATAAATATTGGACAAAAACCCAGCAGCAAATGAAAGAATGAAACACAGACACACACACTTTTGCAGACATTCCGAATATAAGATCACAACGTCGTTCATATGAACATTTTAGGGTAGAGAGAGGGGTGGGAGAAAAACAAAACACGGCAAATTATTTCATTTTCCAGAATTAGAGCAAAATGCTAATTTGTTTTTTGCAAAAAAAAGAAAATGATAAAACAAAACAAAAACAATAATGAAAACAAAAACCAAGAATAAAAATGTATTTGCTAGCGCGTCAGTCAGTAAAATAAAATTGATCTGTTTTACTTTTTGCATTGTGTGCGGTGCGGCGATTATCACCGTTTGTTGGTCTTTCGTAGCAGCGTCTGCACACAGGTCTTTCTGTCCGTCCGTCCGACTGTCTGTCTGGCAGATTGTCTGTTATTTTTTTTTTTTTAATTCCATACTATATATTTTCTTATTACCTACGTAATATGTACGTACGTAGGTAATAAGTACATAAAAAAATACGTATTAAAAATAAAATGAAAACAAAACAAAAGATGAAAAAAATAAATAGCAAATAGAAATTGAATGCGAGAATAACATGAGAGAAAGAATAGCATACATAGCTCTAAATAAATACCGCATAAACAAATGACAAGTGAATTTAAAAATATTTATGACACCACAACAACCGACCAACCAACACTAAATAACAAACTCATCACTGCACACACACACATACCCACACGAATTTATATACAAAATAAAAATAATTATTGAGATTAAAATCAAATCAGCTAAACATGAAAGCTTTTAACAAATTAGTTACGATAATTATGTTGTGGGTATGCTATTTGTGATCATATCGGTACTCAACCCTCCTTTACTGCCTTTACTAATACATGAAACCGTATAAAAGTTAAGTTCTACCGTACCGATTTTGTGCGTTCACAATTCAATAACATCCAATTAAACCACTTCTATTGGGAAACTTCTGCTAAAACCTTAAAATACAGGAAATCTATAAAAAAGCTATGTCAAAATATGGAAAATCGGTCCTATAATTAAAACATGGCCCTATATCATTATATGGAGGGTTGTGCCAAAACATTGATCTATATCGATAAATTTCTGGAATGTCAGTTTACAGCCACTTTAGTAGCGAATGCTGCTAAAATCTTCAAAATTCGAATAATCGGTCGAAAATTTTATATGGCGGATATATAAACAACTATGCTCGATATCGACAAATTTTCACCTCGATTGGAAAATGCTGTTAAATTCTTAAAGTCTTAAAAATACCGAAAATGAGATAGGGCTTCATATGGGACCTTCGTCCAAACATTGACATACATCGAAAATTTTCTTCAAAAGTCGACGCAGACCTAAGGATTAAATCGAAAAATTGGCCAATATCCAATATTTTCTGCAAGGAAAAAGAAGCCGGAACGCCCGGAAATATGAATCTACATCAAAATTGTTGTCCCTCCGTCCCTCCGATATAGGGACGGGAAAATTAAAAAAATACAGTCAACACAGACCTGAGGATTAAATCGAATCATTGGCCAATATCCAATATTTTCTGCAAGGAAAAAGAAGCCGGAACGTCTGGAAAGCTTTTCTATTGCGCAATTCCGTACAGTACAGGCCTAGTGTTATTGCCGAGACGCATAACATGTATATCCTGGCGTTGAACAGCTTTTCAACATTAGGTAATTTGTACCGAGCAAATTGATAGCTCTACGGTTTGCATGGTAAATAAGGGTCATGGCCTGGCCTAATTCAACTCGGTTCAGATCACCTCCCTCCCTGTCATAGTAATCCTTAATAGACCACTCGATATGTTATCATCAGAACACCAACTATTCTTGAACCATCATAAATCTGACCCCATGGCCTGGCTTAATTCAACTCGGTTCAGACCACATCTCTCCATATCATTGTCCTCCTCAATAGCCCACAAGACGCATAACATGTATATCCCTGCGTTGAACAGCCATACCCTTTTTTATATGCTCGGTTTTGGAAGGTAATAACCGTCACAACGCCCACCATGATATCTACCTTTCAACATTAGGTAATGTGTACCGAGCAAATTGATAGCTCTACGGTTTGCATGGTAAATAAGGGTCATGGCCTGGCCTAATTCAACTCGGTTCAGATCGCCTTCCTCCCTGTCATAGTAATCCTTAATAGACCACTCGATATGTTAACATCAGAACACCAACTATTCTTGAACCATCGTAAATCTGACCCCATGGCCTGGCTTAATTCAACTCGGTTCAGACCACATTCCTCCATATCATTGTCCTCCTCAATAGCCCACAAGACGCATAACATGTATATCCCTGCGTTGAACAGCCATACCCTTTTTTATATGCTCGGTTTTGGA